CAGCAGCTGCAACTGCTTTGTTAACAGGTCACTTGAAACTTGGAGAAAAGCCTATTTAGGCAACATGTGGTCTCCAAACTGACAAGTTCTTTCAATGACAGGAGCTATAAATAGACTAACATTGTAAGTTATCAAACTCTGAGCACTGGAGTCTCAGTAAATAACAGTAACTCAGTGCTAGCGGAAGAATGAGTTATTCATCGATGTGTATTCTGAAAATACACTTGAATGTGTCTGGAAGGATTTCTTCTGGGGAGCATGTGCTGGAGGTATGTGGAGATAACATATCAGGAAAAAATGAAATATGTACTTGTGATGACCTCCACTAAATACATAAGGCCTCCTGCTGAGGTCTGATTTATTGTGGCATTTCGTAAGCAGAAGATAAGTAGCTCCAATAAAGTTTTGGTATTGACCTTCTCATAATGGCCATAGTAAATGTCTTTTTAACTTTTTTACCCATCCAGTCTGTAGCAATGAGAAAGGTCCAAATACTTCTCATGTATTTAAACCAATTAATGAGTTGTGGTCTGAGGCTGTTACAAAGAAAATTTCATAGGAGTCAGTTATGAACACCTGAACTTGATGCTGATAAGGAGAGTCTGGTTATCTTCCCTCCTATTTACAGCAGTATGGAAAACATCAACTTCAGAGCCAAAGCTGGTGTTTCAGCACTACAAAGTTGCTGAGTAATTTTATTTCTTTTCTTAACTGCTTCCTGTTTTAACATCTGGAATTTTCCATCAACTCACCAATTGCCAACAATAATCAATAATATAATGCTTCCAAACACCAAAGCAAAACCCAAACCACATTATGAGTAGAGTTGGCACCCTTATATCACCATATTATTTTTCCTGTGAAAAGAGTGGGAACTTGTGCACAGCATCTGCCCCTCTTTCTTGTCTTAGGGATTTACTTTCACCCCACAAACTAGTCTTAAGGCACGAGCATTTAGAAGGCTAGCACACATGGATGGATTAATTTATCAAAGCACCAAATTCCACAGAGATATTTTTCTTTTAGTTAGCCCCCTTTGACTGCAAGACAGCAGGATGTACCAAGGGGACAAGGATAAAACTATGTTCACAAATTAAGTGATTGTTATCCACAAGGCCATCAAAACTTTATTTTTCCCTTTACCAAACAGTTTTTGTGGACAGGATTGTGCTTGGGGAAAGGGAAGTCTCCTGGTGGTGTTTTTTTGTTTTCAGCATAGGGTAATTAACATATTCAGGTCACCACATCAGATGTAGAAATCCTCCAACAGCACACTACTTCTAAAATAATGCACTGGATTCAAAGACTACACAGAACTGTACACAAAGTACTCCATTAACAGCAGGTGCCGTACAAAAACAGCTCTCTTTAAAAGAGCTTTTAATTACTGTATATCTTTGTTTAGAAGCCACCTTCAACTATCTTTTGCTTGCGAGCTGCAGGGGAAAGCAATTAAATGTATGAGAAAACCACCCTTAATTTAAAGCTGCAGGAAGAAGCAATTTGTGTAACAGAAGTCTTAGCTTGTACATGAAGAAATACGGTACATGAAGTCACTGGAGGCTGGGTATTACTTGGACATAGTTAATACATGTTGTAAAACTTAAGATGTGTGACTACTGAAAGTTGAAAGCCATAGCTGGCTGGATGGCCTGTATTTATTCCTGCATCTCCCTATAACAGAGTTGGATGTTTAGACAAAATCCCATTTACATCTCTCAACTGTGTAATTCACACCTTCTTTAAATTCCTTTTAATAGGTGAAGGGTCTCAATACAGCTGAGTAAGCATCTTTGCTTTTAGGGGCAGAAAGGTACAGGGTTTTATTTAATTGAAGTAAAGCCATTAAGGTAGGTCTGGTTATAAAGAAAGACTTTACAAGTGAAGGAAAAAGATCTTTCTGGTCTTCACTGGTATTTCCCAAGTTTACAAGTCTTTATTTTAATGCTAAAACAAATATCGTATTAGTTTAAGACCTCTTTTTCAACACTTTTTCCATCACAGTATTGAAAAGTCTATTCAGACATAGTACAAAAAGGGATTTTGAATGTTTGGTGTATTTGTTTGTTTGTTTGAAAAAGGATTGAAAATGAAATGGTTTCGCTGTTTTTAGGGGTTACTCCTTGATGGTCAATGACATGAAAAAGAGAACAAAACAAAGAACAAAACAAACCAGTCAGTATGAACTCTACTGAAGTTAAAGGCAAAAATGTTCGTAAAACAAGACCAGAAAATGCTTCACTCCATTGTATTTTGTTAACGATACAAAGGTTAATTAGATACTTTCTGTTGCATTGTATAGTGAAATGCTTCCATTAATTACTGCTTCTTAAATCTAACTAATCAGTAAAAATTGACTATAAAACCACCAAGAAAGTATTCTTTCCCATAGTACTTAACTGCAGTCCAGTGCCTATGACTCTTAATCAAAATTAGATTGCAACAGATGCACCAAATGGTTAATAGTCAGATACAGCATCGTTAAAACCCTAAAATGCAGGAATTGTCGACTGACTTCAATTGGACATTCAGGTGTCTCTGTGCTCTTCTAAACACCTCAGTGTTTGTGCTTGTGTTTTCTAGTGTCCTACATTACAGGAGCAAAGGTTGTTATTAACAGCTTGCTTTACAATAGCACAAGGAAGATGTTTTTATAAATGTTTGATTTTATGCGTTTTTGTGCATTTTTTCAACAATTAGTCAAATTGGCTTCTTGACTGTAGCTCCTTGCTGAACCGAGCTTTTTTAGGTTTTGTTATTTAGTGCACTACTGTATTCCATCAAAGGCAAAGTTCAATTATTTGTCTTTTGAAGGTCTGAGTGCATTGTCTAAAATGCCAAGTGCATTAAAAACAGGACACCCTTGACTTTTGCAAGGAGATAGAAGAGGATAATAAGTTAGTTGGATTTAAAGGAATTTTGAAATTGAGCAGGTGTGTCTATGTGTGCACGAAGATATCGAAATAAGGATTAAATGCTATCAAATCAGCAAGAACATATTTTTGACCATTTACCATTTTTCTTCCTAACAAGGATCAAAAAGAAGGAAAGTCTTGTGGTTAAAACAAAGGACAGGGAGCCAGGAGACACTGAACTTGGATAAAAACACATACTAAAGCATTTTACTAGTATGAAAATAGAGCTTTAAAGGCACACAAGTGCAAATGAGAGCAAATTCTAGTGGAAAAAAGGCTGCATTTTTTTTGCTGTGATTACTTGTGGAATTTACTGACGCACCTCTTCCAAATCATATTCACTGTCCTTATGTATTTGCATTTCCATTTTTAACATAACCTTCTATTCAGTCTTTTCCCTCTGTACTGAGACTGAACCCACAGGAAGTAGCAAAAATTCCTGTAGACAGAATGAGTCTGTGGCAAACTTTGCAAAGAAACAGTTCTCAGCCATGCTGATTGAAACCTCGTTTATGGAATGACTTCTACCACCCATAGAAATGGATTCAGGTGGTCACTTCTTAAAAGCATCTGGAGGCTTCGAAAGAGAAGAAAAACAACTTAAATGTTGACTATGGTACCAATTTAACATGATTGGCTGTTCATGATCAGAAGCCTTAATAGGGCTGTAGGGCAGACCGTACATCTTGAGCCCTGTTGTGCAACTCCTGATGCCAGGACTCACCCTATAAGGTCTACATCCATGAATAAAGGCTATAACACGGGATGTAGGCATAGGAGCAACTAGCTTCTGTAGAGTTTATAAAAATTTAGAAGCCAGCTGTCTATGGCAGGCATGTTCAGCATGCGTCTCTTCCGATGTAAATGGCAAACTTCAAGTAAAGCAGAGATTGATTTAATTAAGTTTAAACATTTCAGCTTTTTATTTTATGGTTACACACATAAGTAGAGCAATAACTGAATACAAATGTTGCATATTTACTGTGGCATGATCCAAGCAATTACTACTAAAGTATTAAGGAAAAGCATCATTTCACTCTTTTAATTTTATTTCATAATTAGGTAGAAACTATATTTTGGTGAATACATTTATAGTTAGAAATTATAGATTATGCTTCTCTTTGTTTTGAAAGGATGATTTTAGCCCTGTTGCTAAAAGCCTGTTAGCAACAATTAAAATAGCTATTAAAAAAAAAGCATTTACAGCTCTTCTACTTGTTTTTCTTGTTAGTTTTCATCAAATATTTCACACTCATATGATGGATGCAGCCTGCTAATAGTCACCAGCACAGGCTTTCAAAACTGGTTTTAAACATCTGGTTAAAAACATTGCCTTTTATGTACTGTGACTGTTTCTACGTGAGTGCTGTGCCAGTTGTTCATTATGCCTCTGACTCCCGTTACTTTTTGTTCTCAAAAACGATTTGAAAAAGTTGAGAAGGAAAACTTAAAAGCAGAGCACAACCAACACCGGCAACTTTTCTGAGTGCCAGAGTTTTAACTGCTTTCTGCTGAAATGCTCTCCCGACTTTCCATTCAAGCAAGCATTTTTACACACAGTATAACAGGAAGGGGCTGAGTGCGTGCCTGCAAAGTGCAGCATGGTAAACATCTGTGTATATTCCACATATAGCCCACTATTAAAATCAATCTGTTCAGGTCACTTCCCATTCTGAGGAGAGCTGAGAAACGGAGCCACCAGTTTCTGTCACGTGCTGTGTCACCTCAATTAAAAATAAATTCAATTTCATGCGAAGAACCCAACTTGAAAATCCCAGCAAACAACAACAGAACCTTTCCACTAATGATTTTCAGTCATCACAAGTGGAGAGAGACTCAGACAGCAGACAGCATGGTCCCAGCATGCTTTTTGCCTTTTTTTTTGTTTGCACAGTAGCTGTCAGTTGCAGCCCTGCAGGTAGTAGAACCCAGTGGGAAGAGGGGCGGGACAGAGCGATGCTGCCTGAACTGACAGCAAATTTAAATTACTGAGCGTTCTTTTTCTTTTGTTGATTTTTTTTTCTTTCTTTGCGTGCCCTTTCTTCTTCTTTTTTTTAATTTTTTTATTCCCCCCCCCCCTTTTTTTTTTGTGGTGTTTTTCTACTCTGCGACAAACTGAAAAGATTCTCGCACATGCTAATTTAACAACCCTGCTTCGTCGTCTTCTTTCCCCCCCTCCCTCTTCTGCTTCCAGGATAATTAAAAGAGAAACCTGTAAAGGCAACATTCCTTCAAGCAAGTTGGCGCTGCAACGTGCTGGTAAGATGAATTTAATTATATTTTTTCCCCCCTTTCCCCATTTTTTCTTTTCCTTTTTGGAGCTGAAAGCTTTTGTATATCTAACGCAGTCATAAGTGTGGTTCCCCTGCTGTGGAGGGTTAGGATGTAATGAAAAGGTGTAACTGCTTGATATGCGACCTTCTCCTATTACTTAAAATGGATAATAACAGCTTTCGTGTCTGTCCTCATGATGCTTTTATCTGCGAATTGACTATTTGTTCAACAGAAGCAGTGCTGTGATTGTCGCACTATGACAATGAGGACTTGATTGTTTTTTGGTTACTGTTCCATGCTCCTATCAGGAAAGATAACTTGAGTTGGGGGTTTTTGTGCATGTGATTTTTTTTCTTTTTCTCTCTGAACGTTGCCTGAAGCGCTGATATGATGGGGGTGGAGATGGGGGTGGAGGAGACGGTCTTGGGTGTCATTCTGCCTGTTCAGCTGTTTACTAGGTAGGGAAGTGCAACACAGAAACTTTTTGAAGAAATAAATAAATATCTTGCATCTCGCATCGAGTGGGATCAGTGTACCCAGGATTTATTGTTTTCCAGTGCTGGGTAAAGTTCTTCCTGTCCCTCGCATTGTTCTTCTGGAGAAAGAGGGGAAGGGATGTTCCACTTCATATCTTGTCATACTATTGTAGTAGCTAATTGCAAGTAACTGACAAACTTTGAGATGAAATACCAAGCATTGCTTTTGTGAAGAATGGGTCTAATGCTGTGGATAGTTTCCTGTGAATACAAGCCTGACAGATACAGCCAGATCTGTATTACCATTTGTTGCCGTTCCTGCCTTACAAGTCCCCTTATTCCCAATGTCTCCTTTATAGTCTTTTCTGTCATTAATATATTATTATTGTATTATTTTATTGGTTTATTTTTTTAAGAAAATGAGAGGTGTTTTGCTTTTGCTTTGTGTTTACCCTTATAAAACTTATCAGGTGAATTTTTTTTCTCAGGCTTTCTGAATGTAGTTCTGCCAAGTGCTAAATGCAACGATACCTACTGAAATCAACAGGAAGGCTGAGCTTGTCCTGTATTTCAGAGGAAATTGCTGAGTACTAGCAGAACTGGATCTTATGATTGTTGAACTCTCTTTATCTAACTGCAATTAGTTGTTGTTGCACTTAAGACTGGATCATGTAGGCTTCTACTGAAGTATTTAGAATACACACTGCTCTTACAGTTGGTTGTTTACAGGTTTGTTGTCATGCTGAGGAAAACTTTCTGAACAAAATAAGGGATTTTTTGAGAGAAATCTGGTAGAGTTAGAAAAATGGTGTGATTCAGTTCTCTAACTCCTTGAAAACTGTTGTTCTTAATATATGTAAAAGTGTCCTGAAATTATTCATCTGCAGATTGATACATCAGACTTTCCATACATCAGACTTTCCATACTCGATGGTCTGACATGCCAAATGCATAATGTGATCACAGGAGCAACGTTGTGCAAGGAGAGGATTGATGAGGAGCAGTCAGGAATTAAACACAGACTCCCTGGAGAGGAGGAGAGGACGTGCCAGTGCCATATGGAAAATCACATTCTTTCACAACAACTTTGTTAGGGCACAGGGTTAAGGGCGCTGCACTTGCAGGAGTTCATCACCCCCCATTCCAGCCTCAGTTTGAAGCACTGCAATACTTCTAAGGTTTATTTCTCTTGTGCAGAAAAGCCTGGTGTCTTGTGAAATGAGGTCATTGTAGCTCTCACATCTTGCTTTTACCCTGACAACTTGCCTTCCCCCGCCCCAACACCAAGGTCTGCAGGGCCCAGAAAATTAGGCTTTGTCCCTTGTAATCCTAAACTCCCATCCATTTATAACCAAAGAAGAAAAGGATTGAATTCAGTGTTCTTGTTATGGAAATAAGTTTTTATTCACTCAGTATCAACTGACAGTTAGAAGCGTATCTGATGTAATATGAATAAACTGTAGGCTGTTGACAGTAAATTATGCAGCTATAGTCCCACATTCTCCTAGAAACACTGCCTTTACAAGGCTCAAGTGGCCTAGTGGGGGAAAACAGCTACCAATATTCTCATTTGATCTTTCTAACCACCCAAAGCCATGAGAAGTCCATCGTGGTTGATTCCCACTGCCCATGGTGGACACCTCAGCAATGAATGAGCAAGGCTGCATGGAGTAGAGCCTGAATGCAACCAGGGGTATTCGGTCACAGAGGTGATGTCAAAGTTACTGTTATGAGGAACATGAAAACATCATACAGCCAAGTTTAGATGCTAAGTTTGCTGACAAGAATTTGTTCCTTAAGTCACAATGTATAAAACCCCCAAATCTGCACCTTTAAAAAACCCCACCACACCAACCCAATCTACCAGTCTACTTTCTCTTTGAGTTTAGCCTTTAAATGTATATATTCTTAATTAATCTGTGCACTTTAAATTGCTGTTGGCTTCTAGAAATACTGTCTTCTACCCAGGGCTTGGAAATTTCTAGTTGAATAGAAATGCATTCATTGTAACAAAAAACCCTTGCTGTAATTTCCTGTCAGTAACACAGAAATAAGAAAACACTAGGCTAATAAAAATGATAATCTGAGTTTACAACTGTTAACAAGATTCCTGAATAGAAATGGTGCTATTATGCACAAAGAACTTCTATCATTACTAGAGGAATGTACTATAAAATTATGAGTTTTATTTTTAGGACCCTGTCATCCACTCAGAAATCAACCTGTAATCTTAGTAGTGAAATGCCATAAGTTTTGGCATCTTCCCTCCCCTCCTATTAATGAAATATTAAAGGAATTTTATAATTAGATACTTTGATAACTTAGCTATAAATTTTCTTTACAGGAAAAATCTGGCATAATTCTGTATTTCTTCCACATCTCTAACTCGCCACATACAGTCACTGCAAATCTGAGTTGAGTGCAGCAAGGAAAATTGGGGTGAATCACAGACTTTGGCAATAATGGTGGGATTCCATCAGCTTCTTTCTCCTGAGAGAGGGCAGATTCTCAGACTTTTCTCAGGACTCTGGAGAAGTACTTGAGAATATTTTCCCTCTTTCCCTGCATGGAATTATTTTTTAGTGTTTCATTTCTGGTCAACTGAATCGAAGTATCAAAGCATCATGGAGTCATGTAAAAATGCTCAGATTTTAACCTGTGAGGATTTTTTTATTCACTTTACTAATAAAAGACTTTTACATTTCTCTTCTAACAGCAAATTATAAATGACATCATAAGGGACTTGCTGTGTTTCCATTTGATTTAACACATTAGCTATGGTCCTCTTTTGTCAAGAACCACTCTTGAAGTTCTACATCACCAAAGGAAGACATACCTCTATACCTGGCTCAGAATGTCCCCAAGTTTCTGGTCCTCCCTTTCTAGCCGATTGACAACATATTGAGCCAACGATTTCTAAGACACACTCATTCCACAGGCCTGGCAGCCAGTCACACATCCTTCATCTCCTGGTGATTGTTTGCTGCACTTGTTGGGACTGCTAGCCCTGTGCAGGATAAAGGAAACCCTAAAAATAATCTAATACTTCCTAATTACTTTCATCACTTCTAAGGCAATAGAGGACACAGTATTTATTAGGTCACTAGACCACAGAATCACAGAATGGTTTGTGTTGGAAGGGAACTTAAAGCTCATCCAGTTCCAACCCCTACCACGGGCAGGGACCCCTTCTACTGGAGCAGCTTGCTCCAAGCCCCTGTGTCCAGCCTGGCCTTCAACACTGCCAGGGATGGGGCAGCCACAGCTTCTCTGGGCACCCTGTGCCAGCGCCTCAGCACCCTCACAGGGAAGAACTTCTTCCTAATGTCTAATCTAAATCTCCCTTCTTTCAGTTTAAAGCCATTCCCCTTGTCCTCTTGCTACAGGTCTTTGTAAGAAGATATTAAGTAAGAATATAAATAAACATTCTATCAAGGTAAACAGTCAAATATTAGGAAGAATCAAACAAAGTGAAAAGAGAAGGAGAATCCCAGAGAACTCAGTTCTAGACTATAATTATTAAACAAATTCCTCCTTGGTTGCTTTTCATGCCCCATGACCTGTGGAGGCTGGTAACTTCACTCCCATCCTAAGGCTAATGTACTCCAAAAGCTTTTGTAGCCACATCTTTCCTACTCACTGTGTTAAAGGCACTCACCATCTTTCTTGAGACCTCACCTGAAGTATTGTGTGGAGTTCTGGTGTCCTCAACATAAAAAGGACATGGATCTGTTGGAACAAGTCCAGAGGAGGGCCACGAGGATGATCAGGGGACTGGAGAACCTCCTGTATGAAGATAGGCTGAGAAAGTTGGGGCTGTTCAGCCTGAAGAAGAGAAGTCTCATGGAGACCTCAGAGCAGCCTTCCAGTATCTGAAGGGGGCCTATAGGGATGCTGGGGAGGGACTCTTCATTAGGGACTGTAGTGACAGGACAAGGGGTAATGGGTTAAAACTTAAACAGGGGAAGTTTAGATTGCATATAAGAAGGAAATTCTTTCCTGTGAGGGTGGTGAGGCACTGGAATGGGTTGCCCAGGGAGGTTGTGAATGCTCCATCCCTGGCAGTGTTCAAGGCCAGGTTGGACAAAGCCTTGGGTGAGATGATTTAGTATAGTGTCCCTGCCCATGGCAGGGGTTTGGAACTGGATGATCTTAAGATCCTTTCCAACCCTAACTATTCTATGACTCTATAATAACAAAGGAGGAGCAACCACAAAGCTCTGCATATGTATTTTTTTTTAACTTGCTTTCTCAGTGTGAACTCTCCAAGCATTTGAGCACCATGGTAGGCTTCATCTCATCCAAATTTAGATACCTGTACTGTAGACACCTACATCTGAGTTACCCACCTTGGGGTGCCATTATAGTCAGAGGGAAAAAGCAGGCACTTTCAGAGAGTGGTTTACCTGACCTATTTTAAACATCTATTTTCTCTGAATCCCAGAGAAGGACACCATATTCAAGACTCAGATCATTTAGCTACCTCTACTCCTCAAATTCTCTTCATTA